GTGTGTGTGTGTGTGTGTGTGTGTGTGTGTGAGTTTGAGGTGTGGAATGGAGTGTTGTCGAATCAGCTTCCATATGCAAATAACCTTGGAATGCTGGGCGGGACTGCACAAAGCAGCCAGTCAACCCAGCCAGTGTTACTGAGTGGCAGTTTTTCCGGCTTAACACTAAGGAGGTGAAATTTAGAATGTTCATATAGAATGTTCATACTCAATTATATATAAGGAGAGATACCATACCCAGTCTTTCTCCTCATTGGAGACCCAGAGCTGCATTGTTCTCCTGTCCTCCATTCTATTCTCACAACAACCCTGTGAGGTAGGTCTGGCAGAGTGTGTCACCCAGCAACCTTCCATGGTGGGTTGGGGATCTGAGTATTAGAAACACATGACAGGTTGCTTAAAAGTTCTCTTATTACATGTTGCCTGTAGTGAAGATAACCTGATCCAGGGTGTTCCAGTTCCCTTCTTTTTTGGCACTGTAACTTTCATCATCATTCTGGGGTTGGTGGCCAGTTTTCAAACATGTAGCATTAATTTTCTGAGTTATGCCTGCCTCAAAAAGAGACTTTTAGCTTCCATTGCAAATAGCACTGGGGGGGAGGTAGTTTGTCTCACCTGAGCCAGGATTTCCCCATGTCTTTCCATTTTGGCCCTGGAATTCCCACAATCATCCTGAAGCTGGTGGCCAATTTTGAGTCCCCTAGCTTTATTCTCTGATGAGAGAATAAAGTGTGATATAGTGTGATATAGTGGTTAAAGTATAGGAGTAGGCTCTGGGAAACTCAGGTTCAAATCCCCACTCTGCAATGAAAGTTTGCTGTGTGACTTTGGGCCAGTCACACAATCTCAGCCTAACCTACCTCAGAGGGTTGTTGTGAGGATAAAATGGAGGAGAGGAGAATGATGTAAGCCACTTTGGGTCCCCATTGGGGAGAAAAGCGGGATATAAGTAAAATAAATAAATAAACAGATGGATAGACAGGCTGATTATTTTATTACTACAGATTCATGATGACAGCAAGCCAAGTGATTTATCTTGTTATGCTATTTAGTTTGGACCAGGATCCTATGGGAGGCCGAGGTAGAATCTTTGTCCGAGGGCCCATGGTGGCTCTTGGCAGCCCTGGCCATCAGAGTAAATATGCAACTTGTACTGCATACTTTGTCCTTACTGTAGTTTTCATTTGTTAAAATGGGTACTCTGAAACTTCATAATTCTAAGAACACACAAGGGAACAACCCCCATGGACTATTCCTGAAGTATATTTTTATTAACAGCATGCAGATAAACAACTGTTTTACTTTTTAACCATGGCAAAGATCTAATTTTGTGTAGTAATCTGTGAGGTCCTCAGATCATGTCTAGGTGACACTGCTTGGTAAAAGAGAATGCTGCTTGGTGAAAGTAGGGGTGCAACACCCACCAATTTGACTTAAGTTCACAAGGAGGGAACAGATTTTCTGTTGAGCTGTTCATGAGCAGTTCAAGTATGTTTGGTGGATTACTTTACATGTATTGGAACAGTGCAATACAATGCAGTTGGCAGTATTTTATGCATGAGCATTCTCATACCACCCAGTGGGATCCCTTGCTTTCCCCAAACTTTCATTACTGTACAGTAGCCAATTGCTTAAATAAAGAGTAAACCAATTGGTCAATAGAAAATTACAAGATAAGTACATTTCTGCTAATGAATTTGTTCACGAAGTTATTTTTTCTGATTATCAAAACCATCGTTTCCTTGTCTTAAAGTAAACATTTTTTTGCTACATAACTTTTGTCCTGTCACAGAGAATCAAGTTTTGTTCAACACTCAGCTGACTACTTGCAGTGCTCTAAACCTATATGGATGGAGTTTTGTATCTAATGAATTTCTACATACCTGTATTACATTTAAAAAACAACAACCATATTTCTTTAAATTTAAAAAAAACCCTATAAGGATGCAAACATGCCACTGGAACTTGTCTTGCTCCCAGCCAGTGGCAGCATGGAAAGTGACAGGTATAGCCTACACCCACCATTGCTTTCTGGAACCTGTCTCCTGCCACCTAGCCCCAAAGGTAAGTCCCAGAGAGACTAACAGGCCACTGAGGTTCATCTTACTTCTAGATGGTGATAGGGTGGGATATGGGAAGTAGTAATGGGCAAAGCTTCTCCCAGTCATCCCCTTCCAGGCCCACATTTTATTTATTTTTATGTCACATTTCCTAGAAAGTTCAAAGCAGTTCACAAATAAAATAAAATCACAATATTAATTAATACTTTACAGTCAAAAGAACCATAACATGCTTTACAGAGCACCCACAATAAAACCACATCATCAATGGAAGTTTCTCCTAAGCAACTCTACACATTTTCCTGAAAAATGTGAACACTAACATTCCTCTTTTATTTTGTGGGGCAGTATTCCACAATTATGGTGCTGTCTCAAAAAACCCATGGTCAAGCAGACATGGTCTGAATTCCAGTCAAGGAAGGAACAGAGCAAATCCTGTTCAAAGAACCTAAATTACCACATGGGTTTCGTTTGGGCAGCGAAATATCCTTGTTAGGGTAGCAAAATGGAGAGAAAACATACATGTTCTTTATTCAAGTATCGTCTAACTGAAATATGGCTTTACCTTTCTCTTCACTCTCTTCATCTTCTACTTTGATCTCAGATAAAATGGCTTCCTTTAACTGCAAAGCTTTTCGCTCAGTGAGGTGCTGTCTAAGCAACAGCCAGAAAGTAATCTCAAAAAGAACCTGAAGGTAGAAATGCAAACAAAAACAGAAGACACATTGTTGGTTGAGCATAACAGAACTATTAAAAAGCTGTTTATTTTTAACAGTCTAACAAACCAAGCTTTGACATCATATCCTTACCCTGCACTGAAAAGAATACAGGGGAACTGGATCATGCTGCCAATTCCAGACATTTAGCAAAATAAATAAATACACAAACAAAACAACATTTGGATCTGTGTGGATTAGGTTTCCTGGAAGACAATCCCCTTGGATTCTCTCTTTTTTAAGCTGGATGTAGTGTTAACAATGAGAGTTGTAGGTAAGTGCTATGGTAAGGCTAGTGTTAGGGCCCATACACTGCCATGAACATGTTCGGTAGTATCCATGTCAGGAAATACGGAAAACAGTTCCCTGTGCTCCCAGTGCATTTTAATGATAGCACATAGGACCCAATGGAAGTCTTCTAATCACACTCACCATAGCTACATCCTGGAATAGATAATGGAGTGGACTTGAATTTTGAACCCTTTGAAGTGCTTTGAAATGGAACTGCTTATGCCTGATCCTCAATAGAGCCAAGGAGCGAGTCCATGAAACCTGGTGTTTGAAACCCCCAATGTGGGAGGTTTAATTAATTCTAATTATATTTGCCAAGATATGTTCTGTGAGATTAGTTAAGTAAACGAGTGCCCTATATTAAGTGTCACTTCTACAGCTATCAGAAAACCTGTAAAACTGTGAATTATGGATACAGTCTCAGAAATTTATTGATCAAGACCTGATCCAAACAATGTTCATTTGTTGATATTCTAGATGTTTTGAATCTGAACAGAATAATTTTTCTTCATCTGGAAGTTATTCTGACACTATATTTTCCTATGCAGCAGTAGGGGTAGAGAGGGTACAGCTAATATGTGTCTGACAGGACACAGAGTAGTTAGCCTGTCTTTTTACCTGTCCTGTACACTGCAGTCAGGTTTCTTCAAGTGGTACCAAGCGCTTGGTCCTGAGGCTGGCCGGGGAGGGGGGGGCTAGGGCTGGCAACTCAAGGCTTCTGCCTGGTGGACCTATTGGTTCGGTAAGGTTGTCTTCCAAAAGTTCAGCTTCAGTAGGCTGGGAGGTAAGTGGGTTCAGCTGCACTGCTGGCAGGTGCTGGAGTTCCACTGCACTGTTAATTGGCAAGGATCCTGCAAGGAAGTACTGTCCTCAGTACTCTGCTCTAGACTAACAGGGAGGTTGTGCGCAGCCAGTCTGGCACTTGGCCTCCTTGAGGACTCTGAGTTAAGATTCACTGAGCTGGTCCGAGGGGGGTCATGATGACACTGCCAAACAGAATTGTCTGGAGTGTTATTATTGTAAACAATGGGTTGTATCCAGACTAAATTTTCCCTCAGTGGAAGAGAACTGTTTCCCCTATAAAACTCAGACGTGGCAACAGTGGCATATGTACAGCTGCCTTTCCAGCCAGGGAATATTCTTGGATGTAGAAGCATGCAGGCCCTATTCCTGATCAGTAACAAAGTGGGAATTGTGTCAGCTGAGCCCAAAATTCCTTCTCCCAACAAAGATACGCTGACCCCTCTTTTCCCCTCTGAAGAGAACCGTTGGATAGAGGAAGAACTGGGCCCAGACAACCTACTCTTTGGCATGCTTTCATGAGCCCACATTCCTGTCCCTTCACTGCTTCAGTGGACAGTGGAGGCTATGCCACCTTTCCCTCCACAATGATTGCTGGAGAGAGAAATTCCCTCCTGTAAATTTTGCAGGATGGGCATACGTTCTGTGTATTAATACCTTTATTTTAGTATAATCTCTTTTTACCAAAACGTAGGGTCATGTAGTTTTAGGCAACAGCCAATGACAGGAATTGCAACAAAAAAATCAACAGATGTGCATCTTCTGCCTTCAAGAATAGGGAATTATGCGAAAGAATACCTCATTCTCTGTTATCAAAGTTGAAAAAGCACTATATCTGACTGAATTCAGTTTCTTATTTTCTTCCTCTTTAATGGATTTAACACCCACACATGGTATCAAGTCAACCATGATACTATTTCCCGTGGAGTGCAATCTTTTCCACAAAGCAATTCATTTTCAACTGAAGCCATCACACATTTTGCAGAATAGAGAGCATTATGATAATGTTACTGGTGCTCTCGCATTGAAGTCAAAATTCAATGTATGTTTAAATCCAAAGAGACCTTCATTCCATGTAATAAAGCTAGAAGACACCCCTCCATTATTACAATGTGTACACACATCTTTATAGTTTCTACTAAAATTTAATTTTGTACTATAATTTAATTTTCCTGATAGCTGTTAGTTTTAGATAAGGCATTTTTCAAAGCAGATAATCAAAGTTATGGCAAAGTTGCTGGCAATATATTAAAGCAGTTAAATCTCTTGTGAGAAATTTATAGCATCAAGGAGAGACAGCTGAGACCATATCTAACAAAACCTCTGGACCATTTAATCTTTTTTTAAGAGCACTAATGCTACCTTTGAGAGAAGATAATTCAATGTTTGCTAGTTTTCACATTCATTATAAATTAAGGAGTGGCCAGCAGGGAATACGAAACACAGAATTCACTTTGAGAGAGAATCTCCTGCATCATAATGATAGGCTAGTAAAATAAAAGGAATATTCTATCATATTTCTTTTGTAGTCCTTCAGTTATTTAGCGTCCACCCTCACTCCAGGGGTGGGGGGAATCTACAAAATGAAAACTCCTTTTAACCCTTCCAAAGCCATGCCTAAGGCTCAAAGAACCATCTGGAGAGACATCAAATACAGTGTTAGGACCTTCAGTCTAAAGTGAAAATTATGAAAGGGCCAGAACACATGCAGAAATGCTTTAGGTAAACACATCCATACCTTAAATATACCATACCTTAAATATTGTACCTTTAAAAACAATCCTGTAATTAATTGTTTTCTCTACAATGCTGCTTGAGTATGTATGAACATCTCATGAAACATTATTTACCTTTGATGCTAATTCTCCAGGCTTTTTCCGTTCTAGAAATCCCGAAACTGTAGGGAGTTCACTATCATTCAGGTTAATACTCCATATATATTGGAATGTTAATAACAAATTTCCATAAGCCACCATAAAAGGAGAACTGATCATAGCATATTTCCTTCGGTCACGCAACATCCAAAGAATGCAGGACCATATCAACAATATAAATGTTAACCAACTATGGTAAGTAATACTCCAGGCCTTAGAAAAAAGAAAAAGAAGCAATTGTGTTATGTTGCAATAACAATATTAAAATATATTGTTGCCCGACTTGAAGAATGCTGTGTTTCTAGGCCAGGGGTGTATTTTCAGTAAAACAATACCTTTTAATAGGGTTGCCAACTCTGGGTTAGGAAATTCCTGGAGATTTGGAAATGGAGCCTGGGGAATGGTGGGGTTTGGATAGGGAAGGGAACTTGGTGAGGTATAATGCCATAGAGTCGACCCTTCAAAACAGCCATTTTCTCCAGCCATTTTCTACTGCACTCTGTAGTGTGGAGATCAGTTGCAATTCTAGGAGATCTCCAACCTCCACTATCATACCACTGTGTCATACAACCATCTGAGCAGAAAAATGAATTCTGTTACATTTAAGCCTGGGCCATTTGTTTTAGCTCTAGATGCATCTTCAGTCCCAGGAGGTAGTGTGGAATATAAATAAATAAATAAATAAATAGATATTGCAAAATCAAAAATGTTACTTCAGGCATTTCAAAATTCAGCAAAATTCAGCCTTCCCAAGGCAGAGAGCAAAGGCATGTTTAAATATCTTTCTTTCTCTTTAAACATGCCTCCTTCTCTCTGCCTTCCCTTCCCCAGTTGCCCCACCATGGTGGATAGGCTGGGGAAGGGAAGTGAATGTATGCAAACATGCCTTTTCTCTCTGCCTTCCAGCCATTTCACCCATTTCACTGCTCCCTGCCTCCAAGCAGGGAAGTGGAGGGGAGTGAAACTGACAAGTTTAATGGCTGGAAGGCATTTCTGCCTAACAGTGGAGGGGTGCGCCACCCCACTGTTAGGCTGAAATGGCTCCAAGCCATTTCAATGCTGGGTTTTGCTCCACCCCCCCAGAAGCGGAGGAGCAAATCCTGCTGTGAAATGGCTGCTGGCCATTTAAACCTGACAGCCTGACCAGCCGTCAGTCAGCTGGTAGGTTTAAGTGGCCAGCAGCTATTCTCCATGACTGCTATTTAGTTCTCCCATTTGAACCCAAGTAAAAGCTGGATAATTTCGGCTTTTATTCAGAGTCATTTATTCAGCAGCTGAATAGCTTCTTAAATTTGTACTCGGCTTAGGAAATACCGAATAAATACCAATAAGGTACTTATTCAGTATTTTTCCCATTCGGGTTAAACCAAATGTACACCCCTAGTATAGATTACAGTTCCTAATAAATCTTCTAAGTAACTTTGTGAATCACTGTATAGTGCAAGTCTATTGCCTGTAGAAAACTCTTAAATTTCAGTTTTGTATTGTTTATGGAAAGCTATGAGAGTGGGAGCTTCCTGAACTCCTCAAGCAGGTTCTTCCACAAAGTGGGAGCCAAAATGGAGAAGACAGTTGTTGATTGTATACATTTGCAGGTTGCCACCTGCAGAAGACCCTCCTCTGATGAGCAAAGCTGTTGTGGCTGAGTACAGGGGAAAGGCGATCTCACAGATACGAGGGTCCAAGGTAGGGTTGCTCCCGGTAGGGAAATAACTGGAGATTTAGGGGATGGAGTCTGAGGAGGATGGGGCTTGAGGCATAATGCCACAGAATCCAGCTTTCAAAGCGGCCATTTTCTCCAGGTGAACTGATCTGTTGCCTGGAGATCAGTTGTAACAGCAGGAGATCTCCAGCCACGGAGGTTGGCAACACTAGTCCAAGGCCATGAAGGGCTTTGTATGTGATAGCTAATACCTTAAACTGAGCTGAGTAACTTATGAGCAGCCACTGAAGTGCCTGCAGGATGGGAGTAATACATATGCTCCATCTAGCTCCCACTTGAGCCACGGCATTCTGCACCAACTGGAATTTCTGAATTGATTTTGAGGGGAGACCAATGTACAGTGCATTGCTGCAGTCTAGCTTTGATGTTACTGTGGCATTGATCTGGATGGCTGCATCAGCCATATCAAGATACGGGGCCATCTTTCAGGCTAGGCTGAATTGGAAAAATGCCCTTTAAGCAACTGCATTAACTTGCCTCTCCAGTAATAAAGGTGGGTCCAGTATAATCCCAGGGCTTTTAACTCAGTCAGCAAGGGTCAGCTGAACTCCACCCAAAGTGGGGAGCACAATGTCCTTCAAGATCTCCACTTTCCCAACCAGCATTACCTCTGTCTTTTCAGGGTTTAGTTTCAATTTGTTCACTCTTAGCCAATTTACCACAGCAGCCAGACAGTTATTCAACATCTCTACTGTATCACCAGGGGGTTTGGATAAGGATACATAGAGCTGGATATCATCTGCATATTGATGACATCCAACCCCAAAGCTACAAATGATTTGTCTTAAGGGCTTTACACAGAGATTGAAAAGCATGGGGGATAGGGATTGCACCTTGTGGAACTCCACAGGATAGGTCTCACACTGATGATAACTAGTCTTCCACAGCAACCCTATGAGTCCAATCTGTGGGGAATGATTTGAACCAGTCTAGCACACATCGCTTGATACCTTGAATTGAATTGAACATGCAAGTAAATAGGCATGCAAAGATTTAACCAGTCAGCAGTCATGCTGCTATGTACTGAACAAATGGATGCCTCTTTGCTACCTATGCTACAGATGGGCAACATGGAGACATAGTAAAAGTTTATAAAATTCGGTACAGGGTGGAAAAAGTGAACAGAAGGAACTTTGTCTCCCTCTTACATAACATGAGAACTCAGGGGCAGCAATGAAATTGTTGGGAAATAGGTTCAGAACAGACAAAAGGAAATATTTCTTTACTCAACAAGTAATTAAACTGTAGAATTCTCTGCCAGGAGAGCTAGTGATGGCCATGAGCACGGATAGCTTTAAAAGGAGATGTCCATCAACGCCTACTTGCCAGGGTGATGAAAAGGAGCCTCCATAGACAAAGGCAGCAAACCTCTGAATACCAGTGTTGGGATACGGCAGCAGGGGAGGGCCTTGGTCTCTATGCCCTGTCTGCCCTCCAGGGGAACTGGTTTGCCATGGAACGCTGGACAAGATGACCCAGTGGTCTGATCCAGCAGGCTGTTCTTATGATCTACCTTCTACCTTCATATAAATAATGTTACAGTTGTCCAGCATTATGGTTCCCATAGCATGGCCTGGCGTGATCTGGTCCATAAGGTTGCGAAGAGTCGGACTCGACTGTGCGACTGAACAACAACAAAGCATGGCCAGGTCATCCAAAACTAGCAAATATGACAGTCTCCACACCAGAAATGTCCCAAAGTGCCCTATTTCCAGGAGGAACATTACCAAAGGGTGATAGTTGTAAATATTTTTTACTTACCATCATAGCAATTAAAGCACAAACATAACTTTGTTTCATAATAAAATGGAAAACTGTGACCATAGCGTGAACTTTAGCATTTTTTTCTTCTTCGGTATTTTCCTCCTCTTCTTCTTCCTCATCTTTCTTTTCTATGAAGATGAAAAGGATTCTGCAATTCATGTAATAAATGACTCTCCAAAACTCTTAATATTATTTTATTATATCCAAAATTAACTCGCTGTAAAGACTACTGACTATGTTGAATATGAATATTATTTTTTGCCTATCTATGTTTTTATTATTATAATTGTGTGATCATATACAGTGCTCTAAATTTTTTGAGAGAAAGGTTAACAGATTTAAGAAAACAGTAAGAAAACAAATGCAGATTAATTCCCAAGCAATTGTCACTACTACCTGAGCCATCATCTGATGGTTCCCACTTGTACTGTGGTGTTGAGTATATATCTCCTTTGGCAGGCCCGTTTTCTATGGGCATGAGATAATTAACAGGTGTACCATTCACTGTTACCAGCAGAACCTGTTGAACAAGGATAAGAGACAGGGGATCGTTTTAAAATGGGCACTTGTTACAGCAACCACTTGTACTCATGTTGTTATAAAAATATTAATAATACTTGATACTGTTCATTCAAATTTATGTCCATGGTCACTACGTCTTAAACATTATACATGGAGTATTATCAGCATGCACATGGAATTCTCACACACAACATGATAAAATATAACATCTAGTGTGGTCCTAAGACTGGAAGTAAATTCCACAATAACAGTAAAAAACAGACATGTTTCACCCAAGTCTCTCTCTGGATAACACAACATCTATGCTTTTTCTACACGGCCCACATTTTGCTTTGATGCATTTAAAAAGAATACAGGGGTTGTAACCAAAGACCTATCAGAGAATCTCTTTTGGTACAATGATCTTACCCATCTATTTTCTGCGAACCCTCTGTAAGAGCATGGGCTGCAGCTTCAGAAGAAAACCCATTAATATCATGGAACCCCTCCCCCTTCTGTGAATGAAAGTGCCTTTTGCTTGTAGAAGTGCCTTTTGGATCCAACCCATAGATATTTGCTTTGAAGAGTTCTGCAGTAATATTTGGTTACATTGGCCTCAAAGTGTATAGGAATTATGGCTATCAAAAGATATCCTTAAATCTTCAAGTGAATAAAGTTTTTTTTAAAAAAAAATAGGCAGTCCAGTGAATTCTGAAAAGCTATTTCACCATTTGAAGGTTAAGAGACTAGGCCTATTTGTATAACAGCGATAAGCCATATATGTAACCACTGCTAACATACAAATATTATGTATTATGTATGATTACTGCAGGGGTTTGTGAATCCTGAAAATACTATGTGGCTCTGTTGACAGGTCAAATGGCAACTGCTTGGGTAGAAACTGTCAGCATTTCTGTTCATACATCCTACTGTAAAAATGAAGTTCAGGCAGTTGGAATGGTCACATGAACAATAAAAAACAGAAATAGCTGATTGTTCATGACTATTCTTTCTAAAGATCTTCTGAGGCCTGGCAGGAAGTCAGGCAACTAGCATTACTTCCAGTGTGCTTAAGACAAATTATTATTATTATTATTTATTAAATTTCTACCCTGCCTTCCCCATGAATGGGCTCAGGGCAGCTCACAAACAAGGGCCCAGTCGATTCAAGGATCTTCAGCTGGCCCAAACATTTCTATCTCCACATAAATAAGTTGGAATGGTGAGCATCTAAACAATATAACCATATTTACAGTGCAAAGGAACGGCAAGAACTGGACAATGTACTAACATCAGACGGCTTGTGTTCAACTTCAGTCATTGATAGAGGCTGTAAAAGCAAGGTAAGAATAGCTTATTAGTTGAGAAGCATAGTTGAAGCATAATGTATTCTTGTAAGATTCTGAATCTCAAAACAAGTAGCTGCTTTTTATATTATTACAATTAATCTGGTATAGAATCATACAATGTACAGCAAAATACATTAATGATGAAGTACTCAACTCTTCTCCAGAATGGGGACCCAAAACAGCTTACATGCTGTCCTCTCCTCCATTTTATCTACACAACAACCCTGTGAATTGAACATGTAAGTGGCACAGGGTCACACAGTAAGCTTCTATGGTGGAGTGTGGACTGGAATATGGGTCTTCTAGATCCTAGTCTGACACTGTAACTTCTGCAGCATAGTAGCTTTCATGGGTGGCTGCTGCTGAACAGGAGCAAAGCAACCTGTCCTGAGTGAATCATGCAAATTGTGTGGTGTCAAATCACCTGGTGGATGCTGGTGGGCCTGACCTCCTTCAAAGGCCAAAACAGTCCTTCAAAGGCCCATGTCCCCCCGTCCTTTACTGACAGAAATGAAGGCTTGAAGGTGGCAATACTGTTGTGATTGTCTTGCTACCTCCACAATGGCCACTACAAAGGCATATGTTTCATAAAGTACAAACACTACTTCCATTATTTTGGAGGATTGTAAACTTGCAATGGGTTATTTTTAGTTTTCACATTTTTCTGCAAAGCTAGGATATTTTTCAGATTTACAGAAAGATCTGTCTTGTCTGTTCATGGCTTCAGTCTCTAGATTTAAGTATCCATGGCTTTTGCCACATTGAGAATTAGATACTGATTGATAATGATTTACACAGCCTTGATGGATGTAAATTCTCTCTTACAGACAACATACATTAGTGCAATTTTCTCTCTCACAAAAACACATACAGCAGCACAATCCCCCCCCGCCAAAAAACCAAACAAAACCCTGCCTCTCTTCTTGAAACGTACGCAGTCGGAGAGTGATTTCAGGAAAGCGTACTTTATTCGAACAGGAACAAGACAACTTTGGCCAGGTCGCAGACTACGCAGTCGGAGAGTGATTTCAGGAAAGCGTACTTTACCCCTACTTCCCAATAGGTTATTTACAGTGGCCAAGAGTCCCATAGGATCTCGGCCGGGAACCTAGCCCCCTGATTGGAGCAGGCTAGGATTCGCATAGTCCATTGTCTCTTGGAGCGAAGCTCGACGTTTGTCTCTGACCGCGTGGAGCCTGAGCCGGCCACGCGGTCTGGACTGGATACATTACACTTCTGGAAATCTGCTCCATCTACTAAGCCATTTTACTTTGGGAAAAGGTTTCAGCCTGTAAGAGTTAATCCAATATGTGCTACATTGGCAAGGACTTCCCCCTTCCCTTTCTGTCGACAGAACTCTTGACACATGCTGTAAATGCAAGCAGATCACTTTCCACTTAAAATAAAAACATTTCGAAAACCAATAAAATTAGGAATATATAACTGAGTTTTACCAAAAACAAGGTGGGGGGGGGTCCCTGCAATATTTGAGATTTTTTGATACAATATAAATGGGCAAAAGGAGAAACAGAAACTATGTTCATATACAAACTGGAGAAACAAGAGGATGCTCTTGAACTTCAGTGAAAACGTCAGCCACCCTGAGCCTGCTTCGGCGTGGAGGGCAGGGTATAAATTTGATGAATAAATAAATAAATAAAAATATTCACTATACTTGACATTATGTTTTTCTTAACCGCAGCCAAACTATATGCTATATTGGATAGTTTCTCTATGCCAAACATTGCATCCTGTTGCATATATTACTTAATTTCTAACATAATGAAATGGATTTCTCTCTAAATCTTACTTCTTCATCAGTTGGGTAGCGACTTTTATGCCACAAGATGCGTTTTGTATCTGCAGTCATTTCAAGTCTGCAATCTGTTTCTTCATCTCCATTATCAGATTTGTCATCATCAGGTACCTGCTAAACAAAGAAAAAACCAGGCCAGATTATAATTTTTGAATACTTCTGAAAAACAAGTTATATAATTGCTGGGGTTTTTTTGCTAAAAACTGGAGAGAATCTTTAAAATAGGATAAACAGGACATTAGGCTCCTATGTTGTGTTCAGTTTACATTTAATACAACTATTCCATTTCTCTCTCATTCAAGCCTACTAACAAGGTTTCAGACCAGGGCTAAAACTAATCAGGAAGTAAAGCAATATGGCAAATATCAATAGCCAAAGTAACCTCATTTTGCAACACAGCATTTATGAAAGTCACATGCATTTCTGCACACACAAAAAAGAGAACAGAAGAACATACAACCAGGCTGCATAGTACCACCCCACAATTTCTTTCAAACCAGTTGTGTGAATCGCTGTTCTGATTACATTTGTATATTTCTTTAGAAATGGATAGAAGAAAGTCTGTATGTGGTTTTAAATTGTAATTTAACAAGCATTTTATACATCTGTGCAATACCATTTACTTCAACAAAAGAAGATACCACACAAGGCAAGACCAGTAAAATATCTTTCACTGTTTTGTTTTCTCTTACGTATAAATATATTATTTCAAAAATGTATTATTTCCTCTTAAAGAGAATGGACTGAAAATCATTTTAAATTTGAACTGTTTCATGTAGATTAAAGAAAACTGTTAGCTCAGATTATAGATTAAAATTATGCATGCAAGCAAATATTGCTGTTATATTTTAAAATGTCAGAACTTGGAAGTGTTCAAAATCTGCTATCTCAGAGCAGACATTCTTGAAAATCTGGTGGAAGTAAAATCACAATTTATAATTCATGTTTCCATGACATAAACTAGTTTTCCAAACTATATCAGCATACAGAGAAACCACTTTGGTGACCTATTTGTATGGATAAAATTACTACCAGATATATTTCTTCAGGCAGAACACATTGCATCAGTTTAACTACCCTGTATGGACGTAAATATCAAGTTCTGTTAATCACATCATGACAGAACTATAAAGGCTACAACTAAAAACGTTAGACTAGAATATAAATGTTAGATGGTACCAATAAAGACTTACAAATATTAGGGCAAGATTCAGTACTGAACTTGTTTATCCCTATGTGTTGGAAATAACTAGTCTACAAGAACACAAGCTGCCTGATATCTGTTTCCCTTTCATCTTTTTGCAGGATTCGGATACAGAATATAAATAATAAGGAAACATACATTTCCTAGCATGTTCTTCCAGGCCTCATTTTATGCAGAGTGGTTAAGCAGGCACTGAAGCAGAGTGCAGTGCCTCACTAAGCTTTACTGGCTAGAGGACACTGAACCAGCACTCTCTGACACAGTTCAGTATTGAAGTTGTATACTCAGTGACTTTGTTCAAAGTAACAAAGCAAGTTAAGAACGTCAAAATAAGCATTACAAATGACAGTGAGTCAAACAACTTGCCCTCTCAGAAAGAAAACATATTTAAGAAATGTATGCCCTACTCAGAGCACCTTAACCATACTTTAAATGTCCAACATATAAAACTAGAATAAAATATAGACCTAGGACCAACATAACTGAAGGACCACCTCTCCCTATATATCCAGAAGTGCATTTGACTTCTGTGAGATCTACAGCCTTTTCAGTAGTAATGCTCACCCGTTGGAAATGTAATACAAAACATAATCAGGCACAGAAGACATGTGTGGAGTAAAACAGGCCAAAAAGAATGGAGCAAAACTAACAACATATAAAACCTAAAAACAATTGAAGGAGGGTGGGATGTTCGAAGAAGATTGCATGGTGGAGCCTGGGACAAGGGGCTTTAAATAGGTGAGGAGCGGACTCACTGAAACCTGCACCTGCCAGGTCCACCCCTAAACCTGACCCATCAGGACACAATTCCCAGTGGCCAGCCCAGGGAAGGCAGCTCAAACTTTGTCCTGCAGCAACGGGAAAAGATATGGCCAAGAACATGCGGACCCTTTCCTTCCTGGTGCCCAGCTCTGTGGATGCAAAGCATCCTTCAGTAAGTCTCTGGCCACCATTTGCAGTCTTAAGGGCAGGTAAGGGGGCTGGGAGGTAGAAAGGAAATGGAAAACAAAACATAATCATGCACAGAAGGCGTGTGGAGTAAAACAGGCCACAGCTTTATTGATTACAGCACATAGGAGCATTGGCATGGCATAGGGCATGGATTCAGACATCAGGCAACCTGCCTGTCAGCTGATGGAACCCATCCCCAACCCACTTACTGGGGGAAACAAGAGTGGCAAGCCCGTGGTCCCACATGAGGCACATGCCTTTGTGTGAAATCCTCGCCACCTAGGAGTGGAGCCCTCTCCAAACCTGTCTCTCATACTGCTCTGACCAGAAAAACTGAGATCGTGACTGCGGAACCCTTAGATCTTGTAAATCAGTCAAGATTGCCAGGGTGAGGTCAACTTTGTTTTGACCAAGTAGATCGTTCCCATGCAGCTGAATAATAAGGACATCAGGAGGGCCCAAGAAGGCCATGGCATGCAGCACGGTCGACAAGAAGGAGTCCCAACTCATCCTTCTCCGGCCCATTCACCAGATCTGCAGTTGGTCATGAAGGCCCAACAAGGCTCCCCAACCTGAAGTAGCCATATAGTAGCCAGCTCAGTGCACAACGCTGTGGCTGACAATACAAACCATTTGGCAGCAGCCTGTAGAAACTAAAAGAAGAAAGGTGAGAGGTAGACTGATCTTGAAGGCAGATGTAGGATAAGTAGCTAGCAGATTTCCAATGACCTATAGAACAAATGCTATCAGCGGATAAAATGCACTGGGCCAAAGAGGTGGCCATGCTGATCTGAAAGGAGTGTGACCCAAAGTCCCCCAGAGTAGTATCAAGGGCTAAGAGCCTTTTGATAGCCCATGTAGGCAGGCCGGGGACTTGAGAATCAGTACCTAGTAATCCTGATGTGGGGCTGCTGCCCACCCCTTGACTGCAGAAACCCTCTTCTTTTTGGCATGTCTGATAAAGGAAACAGACTAACCCAGTTGGAACAACCCAACCAGTAATGCTCACCCATGCTCAACCCTTCAACCAGATAGGCAGCTTAAAAAAAAACAGGCCCTTCAGCTATACTCTATACTCTATAAAAACCTAAATAATCTCTATTTAACTTATTTTATTGTTTTTAGCATACAGTTGCCCACTAAAATTTAAAACGTTCATAGCATTTTTATTAGGGTTACATGTAACATGACCTGATCTTAATGTGAACTAAGTAGGCAAAAGCACACTAGAAATACAAGTGCACAGTGAGCACCAGAGAAAAAAGAGGCAGGAGGTAACTTACAAAGAAAAAACTCCAAGCTAGAGGACACTAACCTACCCCTGCCCATACCCAGAAGGGGAGGAGGACAACAGAAAAAGGGGCAGGCAGGGAGCCCGTGAAGGGAGCTACCCCCCAATGCAATACTTAGCCCAGCCGATGCTGCTTATTGCGCTGCTTATTGCGCTGCTGACCCCAAGATCATTCATGACAATGCGAAGAAAAACCCACTTGCCCCAAACCTGAAGGCTGAGTCATTGAGCAAAAACTTGACCACGTGGTTGAACGAGGAGAACAGGGAAATGTCTGGAGCTATCTGATGTCCAAAGAAGATAGCTCAGTAGAGCCCAGGATATGGGGCTTTAAATAGGGGAGGAACAGACCCATCAAAGCCAGTGCCTGCCAGGTTTGCACCCAAGCCCCACCCCATCAGAGAAGTCAGCCCAAGCTCCACTCTGCAGGCCTGGGAAATGCCACAGCAAAGAACACGTGCCCCTTTCCTTCCCAGTGCCCAGTCCTGCACCTGTAAAGCAGCCTTTGGTAAGTCTGTGTCTGCCATTTCTATTCATAAACTCCCTTGGCCAAGATAATGCAATCAAGTGGGAAATTTGTAACAGAATTAGTAGGATGGAACTATGCTTAACTTCTATATCTGCTGATTCTCCTCTGCAAATACCATGGAGAAAGCATTTACAGAGGACAATTAGTGGCAGAAAAGGAATGACCACTCATTCTAGACAGCAAATTTCCCCCGGCTAATTCTTCTTTCCCCCACATTAACCTTTCAAGGAAAACACTGTTCTGGGAATCATACAATTCTACCTAATATGCAATTCAACTTTGAATTAAATATTTATTTGTTTCTTCGATTTCTATTTCGCTCTCTCCCCCCACGATCGTGGGGCTCAGAGCGGATTACAACATAAATTGTCAAACAAACAATTTCACAATTAAAGCTAAACATGCACATCAAAATCAATTAACCAGATGGTGTAAAAAACTATTCCACTGCTCCACTGTCCTAAGGAGAGAGGGGAGAGGAAAAAACCCAAAGGCAGTATATGAATAAAATTCCCTTGTCTCACCCATACACCTGGCGATACAGTTCCATTTTGCAGGCCCTGTGGAACTGAGCTAAGTCCCGCAAGGCCCGAGTCTCACTCAGAAGTACATTCCATAGAGCAGGAGCTATTGCTGAGAAGGCTCTAGAGCGCGCTGAGGCCAGGCAAATGGTCTTTGGGCCTGGGACTGTCAGCGTGCTGTTGACTAAAGCACGTAACACTCTCTGGGGGGTATGCCAGCAATATAACAGCAATAGGTCTTCCTGTGGCCATTCATGATACATATTTATGCTTTTATGTGTAAATGTCTCATGCAGCCTGAATTAGTTTCTATGTTCTACTCTAGGTGATCACATTAGCAAACAGAAAAAAATAAAATTATTCTACCTGTTCAATGGGTTCATGTAGCCAAAGTCGAATGAGAGTTGCTAGGGTGTAGTACAATACTAGCAGCAAGATGGGGTTGACATGGTGATACCAATCCAAGTTTTGGTTGGTGATGATTTTCCAAGTGCTTGAACAGTTGGTCTGAATAATTGAACTAACACCAAACAACCTGTTCAAATAAAAAAGAGGCATTACAGAAAAAACACACAGTAGAATGTCATATCCACAGTTATCCAAATCTCTTGATTATATAACCCTTCTCCACAGTTCAAAGTCACTGTAACATTTATAAGTGACACTGCCTTTTATCAGGTTTCTTACGCGGAGACTTGCTGTGCTTCTGCATAAAACTTTTGAAAATACATTTCAGCACAAAGATACATTTCCCCTGTTTACGTGGGAAACATTTTCCCATAGGTCAGGGATAGCCAAACTTGCTTAACGTAACAGCCACATAGAATAAATATCAGATGCTTGAGATCCACAAGACATGACGAATATTACACACACATTTTTATTAAAATATGCACATTTGCTTTTTATTAACATTAAGTTAGAATGTGTGGAAGAGCCGCATGTGGCTCCCGAGCTGCAGTTTGGCCACCCCTGCTATAGGTCCTTTCATTTGAAGTTTAATTGCTATTCTAAAAAACATGGATACACTTAATAGACCTTCAGCAGGTTTATGCACACAAGTGATTCTATATGTATGTGGTACCACCATATACCTATTGACTTCTGTAGTCGCTTCATCATCAGGGCATGCATTTCAGTGTGTTACAGGAAACTGAATAAAAAGACTTTATGGATAGCTTTGGTCTCTGCATAAGATGGAAATTGTGAAGAATGAGGTCTTAAAAATGACAGAGGTAGAATAATGTAAATCTTGACAGTGTGGTCCAGTGTTCCCTCTAAGCTGAGTTACTGTGAGCTAGCTCACAGTTTTTTAGCCTCCAGCTCACACATTTTTGTCTTAGCTCAGGAAACATGGCTCCAGAGCAAACTAATCTATGCAGTAGCCAAATTGCTCACTCACAACTGTAATGCCAGTAGCTCACAAAGTAGGATTTTTGCTCACAAGACTCCACAGCTTAGAGGGAGCATTGGTGTGGTCTCTACTCCACCTGACAGACTTAACCCAAATGGCTTCTGAATAAAATAAGTTCAGCACACATGAGAGAAACAGAAATAGAACAATAACATTTATTTACTCACAGGGATAGCAGAATAAGGTGGTTCAGAAGAGGATAGAAACTATTTACAGGTCTTACTGTGTCCATTTATTTATAAGGCTACAGTTCACAGTTTAAAAGTGTAGAGAACAGCAGTCAAGTTTGTACTCTTGGAAGTGACCAATGACCTGTCCTCAGAATTCTCACAGTGTGAATGAGAGTTCCTCTCAGAAACCACAAATCGTTCACTAGTTTTCTTCAGAAATTGTGGCTCTAAGACAGATTTAGCCTACTCACATACAAGACCAACTCTGAGACAAAATCCCTCCAATCTCTCTTTCTCTGAAGGTTCAAAGAGGCTTACATCATTCTCCTCTTCTACATTTTATCCCCAGAACAACCCTGTGAGATAGATTAGGCTGAGAGAGAGAGAAAAGGGGCCGGCCTGAAGCGGCCCCCCCCCCCCGCAAGCTTCCACGGCAGAGCGGGGCTTTGAATTTGGGCCTCCCAGAACCTAGTCTGACCCTAACCACTACACCACACTGGCTCCTTATTGATACGCAGGACAAGTATATTTTCATACTGGTAGAAATGTAAAAGTATATATATTTTTCCAGTGCAAATTAATATTCAGGAAGCATATTCCATGAACACGATCAATCTACCGAGGGCAATGAGTGTTTATGTGTGTATGCGTGTGGACACACATATAAGCCAAGAAGAATTTTATTACTGTTCTGAGAAACACTCTGCTAACACTATGCTGAAAACTCAAAACTAGTGGGTGGTTGTGACATTGTTGTCTGCATATTCATTTTTCCCAGCAAAAGTTCAGTGAATTAATGAAATCATGTCTCTGGTGTATATATACTATGATCCTCTCTTCCTGGCAAAGTCACAACCTATGACCTTCATAAATGCTAGATATTGATGTACTAGTAAAGCACATGATGTAAGAGTGGAAATACTGCTGTTATTTGAAAAACAGGAAAACAATTTTCCTTCTGTTTCCATGCAAGCAGTGTGGTTAGTTGCAGAGATAACCAAATCATTACAAAGATATTTACTACATTTAGCTTCTCCACTGGTTTCTACTGGGCATATGTTCTGATTTTGAAAGAAGAATGAGAAGCTTGTATGCACTTGCTGTCTCTTCCTAAATATAACATCACATAGGAATAATGTTCATTTGTACATGGGATTTCCCTTAGCATACTATCCATACCTCTGTTGAAAAGGGATAAAGAAAGACATATTAGGGACAGATGAACTGAATATTGCGAGAAAGAATGTAGGAAAACAGCAGGAGGGGGAAACTTCCATCTGTGATAGCTTCCCTTGGATCTAATCCTGTATGTGCCATCTGCTCCAAGGGATCGGAGAGATGAGGCTCTTTGGTAGTGAGAAGTACAATTTGTGTGTGCAGTAGTTACAAAAATAAATATTTCTGCAATGATACAAGGATGTTTTTAAAATGACATTTGAAGCACCGCATTGTTAATTTAAGCACCTGTTGTTTTTTTTAAAGCAATGATAAATAACCAACACATCAAAAGGATATATGAGAAAATAACTATTACTTTTCAAGTGGGGAACCCATCTGGATCCCAGCTGCCCTGGGGATATTTTCCTATTCAAATGCGGGGCTCGGACGGCACATAGCGGCATCTACTGAGCAACCGCAGCCATCAACAGCAAAAACGAAGGACTCCACGGTCGATATGTGCATCACCCCACCTGATGGCTTCCTGCCCGACAGCTAACATAAGGCTTAATGCTGGCACTGTGTGTGCCACGCCAGGCCCCAGCCACCCAAAACCATCCCAGGGCCCACAGAGCTAGGAGCATCTGCTTGCCTTCAGGTGGATGCCAGGGGCCTGCGCCATGGAGGGATCAGCCCATCCTGTCCATCTTTTCCTCTATGTGGGTGGCAATCAAGAGGGAGAGGCTGGAGGGCCATCACGAGTGAGGGGAAGCCTTTTGCAGGGGCCAGCAATGGATTGAGGGGCTGTCAGCATCTGTAACAGCAGCCGCTGGGCACCTGGAGGGGATTCTTATTGTAGCGAGGGACAGGAGTGCATCGAGATGCTACTAGGGGACCTCTCCAAGTCTCTCCAGCACCCCTGGCATCCCCTGCCCCTCCTCCTGCTGTGCCTACAGCGGAGGTGGCATGCAGATTGGCATGGGGATGCCCTCAGTGACATAGGCAGGCATCTGGCTGCCATGGACAGCAGTGAGTGGGGGGCTCCCAGACATCCATGTTCTTGTTGCTTATCAGCCTCTGGTGCCCTGTGTGCTCAGTACCACCATGGGGTGCCAGTAGGGCTGATGGGTGATGCCCCCCTCCCCACTGTCAGGTGTGCCTGGGGTGAGGATCAGCCTGTGGAGGGGGAGGGGAAGAGAAGGATGACACACATTGTGTTGGGAGGAATCAGGCCATGACTTTATTGATTACAGGTTTCTCAGGTCTTGACGCAGCATAGGGTGGGGACAATGGGTGCGACTGAAAGCCTTTCTGCTGTCAGCACCTTCCCCAACTTGCTTGTTAGGTTAACCAAGGGTAGAGGTCTGGTATTAGGACTGGAAGCAGCAGAAACCACTGTTCCTAGCCATCCTCCTCCTGGGGGTGTGGCCAGCCCCAAGGTTGGCTGTCCTGTGCTCTGCACCCCAGAGCCCCTGAAGGGGACTCTCCTTTTGGTCATGCATCACTTTACTCCCATGAGAAATTAGTGAGATGGTCCAATAGTTGCTGCAGACTTTGATGTCTCCTTTTTCGGAATTGGTATGTAAATCGAGCACTTCCAGTCTGTGGACCATTGCTTTGTATTCCATATTTGTTGGCATATCCTTGTTAAGATTTTGTTGGACTCCATCTTCTGTGACTTGAAATAGCTCTATTGAAACCATGTACTCCTAGTGATTTTTTCCACCCTCCCGAGTGCTACAGTGCAGCTTTCACATAGCTTTCTAAATTAGCAGATTCTTCTTCAAAGATTCTCCTTGGAAGGAATCTGTCATCCGTAAAGCTCTTCTGTATATTTCGTCAGCATATTGTTCCCATCTTTTCTTTATTTTGCCCTGTTCAGTTAATGTATTTCCATGTTGATCTTTCAGTATGCCTAACCGTGCTTTAATTTCCCTTTGGTTTCTGAGATATTATGTAACAGGCTCTTGTTCTTCCTTTTTTGTTGTTCTCTTCTGTTTCTTTACACTGGTTATTATAATAGTTCTCCTGGTCTCTGTATGCAAGTTGCTGAATGCTGCATTTAGACTTATGATTCTATTTTTGTCACCTTTCGTTTCTTTATCTTTGGCAGTCCCCAGATTGACAGCAAATCCAGCATGCATTCCTTCTGGTAATATTTTTCCTTCTAAAGAGAATTAATCTGAAATGTAGAGTGGTCGAATCTAAAACTCTATGTACATAATAATTTAAACATTATGGATAAATGTCAACCATGTAGTGTTAAGTTAAAGAGAGAAATCATGAGCCATTAATCCAGGCATAGCAGCAGAAGAAAAAACGGTTACACTCTAAGGCTGCAGTCACACACACTAAATAATCCACTTTCAATGCACTTTCGATTGGATTTTACCAGTTCACACCGTAAAAATCCAGTTGGAAAGTGCATTGAAAGTGGATTATTTAATGTGTGTGACTGCAGCCTGAGAGTTCTGCATTATATAAAGGTAACAAAACACAGCAAAACAACACACCAGGCAGGCAAAATAACCAGGCAATTTTAAACGTCACTTTGTTCTCAAACATATTACAAGAGGATGTTTAATATAATTCATCTCCATTTTTTTCATAGTTAACATTTTATTGAATTCATGAATAACAAATAATAACAACATACAGATTAATAATGTAAATTCAATAATAGTAAGCTTGAAGGTTATGTGTATCACTTGAGTATCTAGATGGTAAGTACAACAAGAATACTTAATCTAAGTTTCCTATGAATAGTAATAAGCTAGTATATTACAGACTGAT